GTTAGGGCTGCTGCTGTTTGATTCCTGAGCACTCCAATGTCGTGCTCGCTGTGGGAAAGCAACTGAAGATTTTTCTGCTGCTCTGTGCTCCTAATGTAACCAAAAACTTTGGGAATAACTTTCTGTTTCTTCTGTTTCCTCAGAAACTTTGATGGATACGCGGACGGCGACGGCCGAGCTGGGCTGGACTGCCAACCCACCCTCGGGGGTAAGTGCTACTCGTCCAGCTGATCCTTACATAGTCTGGTGGGATTCATGCTTTTAACCCTGTTATTTGTGGTGGGAAGCTGGGGAAGCTGCAGTGGGAGCTCAGTGACACACACCAGGTTGGTGTGGGGTGGCCTGTCGCTGTCCTGATCCGCGTGGCTGATCCGGGCTGAGCGTCCTTTCCCTGAACCGATCCCGGGGGCTCGGTGAAGGTGGAACTTTCTTCCATCTCCGTGCTCTCTCCTTCCCTTCCTGTCCTCCTTCCCAGTGAAGGGTCCGGCCCCATCGCTGCCCTCCGCCCCCTGCTCGTGCCTTCCCTCTCCCTGTGCCAAAAGGCTTGTAATTAGGAAACATTAGCAGGCTCAAAACAGCTTTCATACCTGGAACATCATCCGTAATTGCACTCGGCAGTGCTCTTCCTTGGCTATTAATGTCACTTTTATGAAGTAATGAGGAACAAAACACCCTGAGGCACTTAAAACATCTTTTTTATATAGTATCAGCCTTTGAGAAATGGGAGCATAAAATAACCTGACTCACATTCTGCTGGCAGAAAAAGTGAGAGATGGAGCTGAGGGGAGAGGAGCAGCGGAGGTAGAGGATGTGAGCTGATGGATGGTCACCACGGTGGGACAGGCAGGCTGGAGCAGCAGCAGGGTCCATCCCTGGGGACTCCAGGATGTGGCACTGGAGTGGAAAGGATGCCAGGCTGCTTCTTTGTTAGGGTGTGACTGGCTTGGCTAGGTCTTCAAAAGAATTGAGGTTGCACACCGTCACCAAAGCTGAACCACACATACAATGGGCACAAAATCCACTCCAGGCATGTCAGAGCCCCTTGAAATGAGGGGCTTTGCTACTGCATTGCCTTGGAAATAATCTGAGCCTGGATAAATTGCTGGAAAAATGCAGGAGGGGCACGTGCAGGTGATGGAGATGGGATATAAATAGCTGCCTGCAGCTGCTGTCACTGAAAGCCCATGCAAGGCAGGCAGGGAGCTTGTGTTATAAGGCATGGTGGTCTCACCCTCTGCAGAGCAGCAGAGTGAAGCCCCTCCCCAACCCCCATCCCTGCATCCCACCATGTGCATCCCTCCATCCCTCAGTGCATCCCTGCAGCCATCCAGCTCTCACTCCTTTGGGAGTTCCTGGTGAGGCTTCTCTGTCACAAGAGTGTGTATTAGGTCTTCCCCAAAGTATTTAAAATGCCAAGTCCTTTATTTAAAGTCATACAGTCATGGAATCTTTCAGGTTGGAAAAGCCTTCTAACCATCAAGTCCAACCATTCCCCCAGCACTGCCAAGGCCACCACTTACCCATGTCCCCAGGTGCCACATCCAGATGGGTTTTAAATCCCTTCAGGGATGGGGACTCCACCCTGCCCTGGGCAGCTGTGCCAGGGCTGGACAACCCTTTCTGGGAAGGAACCTTCCCTAATATCCAATCTAAACCTCCTCTGACACAACTTGAGGCTGTTTCCTCTTGTCCTGTCCCTTGTTCCCTGGGAGCAGAGCCCAACCCCCCCTGGCTCCCCCCTCCTGTCAGGGAGTTGGAGAGAGGAAGAAGGTCCCCCCTGAGCCTCCTTTTCTCCAGGCTGAGCCCCCCCATCTCCCTCAGCTGCTCCTGGTGCTCCAGCCCCTTCCCCAGCTCTGTTCCCTCCCTGGACACACTCCAGCCCCTCAATGTCCTTCTTGTAGTGAGGAGCCTAGAACTGATCCCGGGATTCCAGGTGGGGCCTCACCAGTGGCCAGCACAGGGGGACAGTGACTGCCCTGGTCCTGTTGCCACACTATTCCTGACAGGGAGAGGGGCTCCTGGCTGCTGCTGGGGCATCAACCCCTTCTCCCAGGCTCCTCTCAGCTCTCTTGGGGCTGGTGGCACAGGGATGTGTTGAGCCAGCTTTCCTGACCCTGTGGTTGCCATTGGCATGGGCTCTGTGCAGGCTTTGTGTCCTTTTGGGTGGTGGCATCTCCCCTTGGTGTGTGCTGAGCTCCCAGCTCCCAGTTCACCCCAGCTCACAGATTTGCCCTCTTGGGGCTTGGGGAATGTTGCTGTTTATGCCAGGGCACGATGCCAGCCAGGCTACAGGGGCTCTGGCAGGATGTGGGCTCTTCTGCTCTCCCTGACGGACGTGCTTTAAATCTTAGTGGAGACAGAGAACAACATTGACTTAATCCCCAGCTCCCTGTGAATTATTTAGTAGCATCTCATCAAAATGATGCATTTGTTGCTGTTAGAGCATCGGTGGCAGCAGCTGCTGGCACTGTGGGTCTTTCCAGCCACGGGGATCTGCTGTTCTCTGTGCCAGGTTGCAGGAGGGATCGACCCAGGGGATGCCCAAGGCAGCCCTAAACCCTTGTGAGGGTTTTCCAAGGCGCATTTCATGTCGTTCCTAAATGCAGGAAACCCTGAAGTGCAGCAGGGTCCGCTGGCAGGTTTTGGCTCTGAGTTTTGAGGCTCTGAGGGTTTTGAGGATGAAAAGGAGGATTCCCACGGCAAGGACAGCAGAGCCATGGGAACAGTGTTAGTGCTGGAAGAGAGCTCGTTTTCTGGCGTTAATTGGATGTGGGGCTGCAATGGGAAGCCTGGGTGGGAACGGGAAACAATGCCAACCCCCTCGGCTGGGGAGGACTGCGTCGCTTCTGCTGTGAAAAGGTGTCTGGTAATGAAGGGGCATTGAATCCACACGCCTTGTTCAGGGGGGAGAGGGGGTTTTGCAGTGCTTTCACAGCATGGGGTGAGAAGGAAGAGCACTCAGCTGGATGCAGGAGGCTTTATTGCTGGTGTGGTAACCATGGCTTAACAGCAGTGTGCAACTTTGAGCTGTGATCTTGGTTTAAGCTTAGTGGAGCAAAATAGGTGGACTCAGGAGTGAATGTTCTGCCGCACTTGTTGGCAGCATGTAGAGGACCCTGCTTTGAAAACACAACTAAACCCTGCATTTTGTTACATCAGGGCTGTGGTTTACAAGGGGGGGGAAGCTTGAGGAGGAGTCGAGAAATGTGGTTGTTTAATGGAAAAGGGAAGAGGGCGAAATCTGTGAGGTTTCAGGGTCAGTTGTGGTGCATCAGCTCGTCAAGATTCCGTGTGATGGGGCAGGTTGGCATCACCCACCGTGCCCCCATGTAAACACAGGCATGAGTGCTGCTCTAACATCGCTCCTGGAAATTATCCCTGATGCTGAGCGCGCTGCTGAAGATTGCCATATGAATAATGCTGTTATGAGGAGACTGTAAACATGGATTAGTTAAAATGAATGGATTATGAGGTTGTAAATCTGTCTGTAGGACTCTAATGCCATCATAGACTATTCACAGTTTGCCACTGTCCCTTAATTGAAATTGTAGCCTGGATTATATTAATGCCCTTCTATAAATCGAATTGCAAATCTATATTCCCTCTCTCCACGGCAGTAATGTTTTATTTAGTTAGTTTTCTTTGCCGGGGGAAATGATCCCGTTGTGCCGGGAGCTTGGGGTCAGGCTCTCCAGTCCATGTGCTGGCTTGGGCTTTAATGAAGCTGTACCCTTGTGTAGTGCCTTCCCTCCCACCTCCAGGTGCCCGGACCATCTTTATTCCCGTGTTTACTTCTCAGGGCAACTGAGGCAGTTGCCTACATGGAAAAGATGTTTTAGTATCACTTGGGAGCGGTGAGGAGACACATGTAGGGGCAAGAGGGTGAGGATTTCTTCTGGTGCTGGCCTTGGTGGTGTTTCTGCATGTGCACCACATTGCGTGTCCATAATCACATTCCTAGTTTCCTTTGGAGCTTTGGGATTGTCATTCCAATGCCGAATGCAGGGTCAGCGGCACCTCCGCGGCTCACAGGCCGCTGCAGGTCCCTCTTCCTCCTTCTCACCACTTCTCCCTTCTCCATCCCGCAGTGGGAAGAGGTCAGTGGCTACGACGAAAACCTCAACACCATCCGTACGTACCAGGTGTGCAACGTCTTCGAGCCCAACCAGAACAACTGGCTCCTCACCACGTTCATCAACCGGCGCGGCGCTCACCGCATCTACACCGAGATGCGCTTCACTGTGCGGGACTGCAGCAGCCTCCCCAACGTCCCCGGCTCCTGCAAGGAGACCTTCAACCTCTACTACTACGAGACAGACTCTGTCATTGCCACCAAGAAGTCCACCTTCTGGACAGAGGCACCCTACCTCAAAGTGGACACCATCGCTGCTGACGAGAGCTTCTCCCAGGTGGACTTTGGGGGCAGGTTGATGAAGGTGAACACAGAAGTGAGAAGTTTCGGGCCCCTGACCCGCAATGGCTTTTACCTGGCCTTCCAGGACTACGGGGCTTGTATGTCTCTGCTGTCTGTCAGGGTCTTCTTCAAGAAGTGCCCCAGCGTGGTGCAGAACTTCGCCATCTTCCCGGAGACGATGACAGGAGCGGAGAGCACGTCCCTGGTGACTGCCCGGGGCACCTGCATCCCCAACGCCGAGGAGGTGGACGTGCCCATCAAGCTGTACTGCAACGGCGACGGGGAGTGGATGGTCCCCATCGGCCGCTGCACCTGCAAGGCTGGCTATGAGCCGGAGAACAACGTGGCTTGCAAAGGTAAGGTTGGCTTTGGGCAACAGGGGGCTTTTGTTGGTTTTAAGACAAAATATTTGTCCCTAAGCAAGCTGTTTGGAGCAATGTCTGTTGTGAAACTGGCTCTGCGCCATTTCCCTGCCCTGAAGTGGTTTTACTGCAGGGACCAGGCAGGGATTTGGGAGCAGTGGCCAACCTGTGGCTTCTTGGAGTGCTCTGGTCAGTGGCCAGTCTCGGCGAGGCCGCGGGTGCCGGCGCCGCTTCCGCCGCCCTCCCGCTGGAAGCCGCCTCCGGGATCCGGTGCCTTCAAAGCGCGGCGCTCGCCGGCTGAGCCGCTTTCATCTGCCTCGTTATTTCCCCGGCACAGCCGCGGGAGCCGGGCAGCTGCCGCCGGGCCTGACGGCGGTGGAGCTGCTCTGAGCCTGGCCATTAATTGGGACTTTGTTTGCTGGTTTGTCGGGTTCCCCCAGCCACGCTGCTGGTGTGCTGCTGCCTGCTGCAGTCCTGCAGTGCGGGGTTATAAATATGAAAATAGTGCTGCCTGCTTTTCATCTCCTTTCACCGATGAATATTTCCCAAATACCACTGGAGGATTATTTTTTTTTCTGTTGGTCGCCCTTTCCTTCTCCTCTCCCAAATTAAGGTGTTGGTTTTGCACGCTGCTGGGAAGGAGAGATGAGAAGGATTTTTGCATGAGATGCTGACTGTGTTTCATCAGTCCCAAGTAGCTTCTAGAAGGTCAGCACCACCAGGACAAGGAAGGGTTGGAGAGAAGGAGAAGGTCAAAGTGCCTTAGGGCTGGTTTTGGGTTTGTAGTGGAAAGAGGTTTGACTTGGACCTCTTTTAGTGCAGGTGGTGGCAATGTGTGTAGCACCAGGCTTGGCTGTGATGCTCCTTGGGGTGGCCACCACCGTGTTTCTTCTTCATCTGTAACTCTGGATATGCAAATGGCAAAGCTGGGATTCAAGCTGTGGAGAAACTCGTTTGTTGGTTTGCTTTAAACCTGAGAACTTGTGTAGGTTTTCACCATGAGAAACCTCATTCCCACCTGGCTAAGGTGGGGATGGCGGTGCCTTCCAGTGCCAGGGCTCTGACAACTGGTGAACCACCAGAATCCTTGCTCGAGCAGCACTGCTGGTGGATTCCTTTGGGTTTTGTGTTTGACCCTGGAGGTGGTTTTGTTCCTGCTGGGAAATGGTGTATTCCCGTGAGGAGCTGAAGCTCTCCGTCAGAGGGAGGGAGGGCTCTGCGAACGGGAGCGTTTCTGGCGAGATGTTCCTCTGCTGTTGAATCAACAAACAGAAAACGCACATGGTTTTAAGGCAAAATGACATTTTCTTATCATAGGAAAACAAGTACTAGTTTTAGCTAAACACTGGAATTGGGAAATAATGTCATTTTGCCAGAAATGTAGGGAAACAGTGAGAACGTAAAACCGCGGCGGGTTTTGGTGGTGTTGACCTTTCCATCCGCCCCCAGGTGGGGTGGTGGAGGAAGTTGGGGTCGTGAGTGCTTCTAACCCCTGGGAAGAGTGTGATGCACCTACTCAATGCTTGTAGTTTGGGGCAGGGTGGAGGATGAAGGACAGCAGGACGCACGAGAGGCATGGCAGCGAACCTGCTGAGGGTGGGTGTTAGACCATCTCCGTGGCTTTTTTTGTTTCCTTTCCTTGTGCAAACCCCACAAGGGTTGTGATGTGTTCATGCCATCAAAGCTACACTGAGCAGACCCTGGCAAGCTGGGGATTTGTTGGGGTTTCTGTGCTGCAGTGCCTGTCTCCAGCTGTGCTCCCACTGCTCCGGAGTGCTGATGCTGAAGGAGAAACTGCTGAGCTCCTGGTGAGCATGTTGTCTTTGCATGGGGAGCATGCTTTGCATTTGGGCTCCTTGAGGGGAAAATTAGGGATCCTGGCAGCTCTAAGGGAGTACAAATACCCTTTATGGATTGACTGGCAGCACTGAGGGTCCTGAAAGCCGCTGAAGTATGCTGTGGGTGCAGAGCAAGCAGGTGGTTAAATGGCACCAGTCACATCTGTGACGACAGGACCATGCTGTTTTGATGATCCCATAAGTGCTGGTACAATGCTGTTGGCAGAGGTGATCTCCAATAACTCCCCTTTCCCAGTTCTGTGAGAGTATTTCCCAGTTCCCATGTCAGGAGGACAGAGAAAAGGCTGGGATTGCACGTGGGACCTGCACATTTGGTGATCCTGCTCCATGGTGGTGAGGAACCCAAATCCAATACACACACCAGCCCCTGGAACTTCACTAGAACCTCTCCTAAAAGCTTAATCCAGGGTTTACATTAGGGCTGTTGGAAAATTATAATTGCATTTGAGTAAAAATCTGACCTTGGATTGGACTCTGGCTCCTTGGTAGCTTGTTGGCCATCAAGCTCCTCCTTGTATCCCCCCGGACCTTGGAGATGGCCAGGGAAGACCTGAGCCCACCTCTCCTCTTCCCAGAAGTCGGCGGGCAGGAGGTGGCACATTGCAAAGTTTAGGAATAATTCCTTGGTTTTCTGTTTGACTTTGTGTTCTCTGAAGGGTTCCCTGCCTGGTTCTCCTCGCAGGGATGCTGCCAGGATGACTCCCTGGGAGCTCCTGGGAAGCACACACTCCTGACATCTGCTCCAGGCCTTCATCAGCCCGAGATTATCCGCTTAACAAGCCGGTGGGAATTGTCACCAAGGAAAAATAAAACGATAAAGAAAATCCCACAATATTCGAAGGCTGAGAAAATGGGCTTAATTCCTCCGTGGTGGGGAAAAAAACGGGGTTTAATTTTTTTAGCTCCCCCCAGCTCCCTTTTCTCCCTCTCCCCCCTGGGACAGAGGCTGTGCTTGTCATGGGGCCATTAGATCGGAGCAGGTTCGTGCTGACAGCAGAGCTCGGGGCCGCTCAGGGAGTCATTAACGCCGGCTTTTATCGGCACTTACCTGTTCGCGGGAGGCACCGGCACAACGCCGTCCTCACTGGGGGGAATTGGAGCCACGGGAGATTATCCTCATGTTTTAGGGTCAGAGGGATGGGGGCCGTTTTTCCACCACCACGCCAAGAAGGGGGTGGGAGGGAAGGGGGTTGTCTTAATCTGCCCCGTTATTTGTTCCCATCCCAGGCTGGGTGGGGTTTGGCACAGACCTCCTGGCACAGCTCTCAGCTGTACCCCAGAACCCAGCGGACTGCCGGCCCCGTCCCCTTGGGCACCTCGTGCCCGTGTGAGCGGTGGGTCAATGGGAAATGGAGGCTGCTGTCGAATCCAAAATGAATAATTCATTTGGTGCAATAGCCCACGCTCCGGTCGGGCTGATATTAAATCCATTTGTCTTGCTCTGCCCCGTCCCTCAGCCTTGCTTTATGGCTTCCTTGCGTGGTCAGGGGGCAATGCATCATCCAGCTGGGGAGGAGGTGGGAGGAAAAGCGGGAGCAGGGATCACTGGGAGGCAGGGGAAACCTTGAGATGAGCATGCTGGGGGGGTTTCACTTGTTCTCCTCGAGGAAGGTAATTAAATCCTCTCTCTGCTGGTGTTTGGCTCTGAAACCTAATGATAGCGAGGTAACCCCTGACTAGAATGTTGGCAGTCGGGAGTCTCTCAGCTTTCATCCCTTTCGACTTTGAGGAGGGGGGTATTTTTGTCTGCTGGAATCACACTGACTTTCTCTGCCCTTCCCAGTGCCAGGCACTAACTCAGGTGCACGGAGCAGGAAAAAGTCTGGGTCTAAACCAGCTTTGTGCCGAATTTTGATGTGGTACTTATAAGTCCAGGGAGAAGGGGTGTGAGAGCAGTCCTGCTGCTTCCCAGCCCTGTCTTGCTTTCGATTTTCCCCTCCTGGCAGATTCCTGTCATAGCATGTTCAGGAGCCTCCAAGGTGCCGCTGCTCGGGATAATCAGCCGGCCTGCTTGCTCCCAGCAGCTGGAAATCTGAGCCAGCAGGGGGGCAAAATTAAACAACCCCCCACAAAAGAAGCACAAAGCTGGGCTACAATGCCCATGGTGCAAAGGCTGCTCCTTGAGCCTCCTTGCTCCCAGGAATCCCTGGCTTTCCACGAGGCAGATGATCCCCTTCCCCATCTGGATCCAGGTTCCCCCCCCTCTTTTCCATGTGCCGACCGACGTGCAGGGCTGTGTCCAGCTTTTGCCAAACCTCTGTGTGAATTTATTCTGGTCTCCTTCATCCCTTTGGTTTCTGTTTTTTCTCTGTTTGTCCTTCCCTCTTGCCTTGTGTGTGGAGAGCTGGATTTGGGAAGGGGCAGTAGCGGGGAAAGCATCCCACCAGTTGAATGTCAAGGAGTGAGTAGCCTCACACTGGTCCCCCATTGTCCTCCTCTCCTTTTGAGCAGCCTTAGTGATAATTATTGATTTCTTCTACTTGTCCATCACAGAAGACTGGAAACAATAGAATTTATAAAGTGATTTTTTTAAAATACTAATTACGAATGTCTTGTAATTAGCAGTAGAACCATTTGCTAACCAGGGAAACCACTTAAAACAAGGGAAATGTCAAATTTTCACAGTCAAATTGTTGCTTGTGCTGAGAACTGGGTCTTTCTGATCTCTGGCTGTGTCCTTGCCTGCCTTTTCCCTGCTCTGTGGTCCAGCCTGGTGCCCCTGTACCATTTTGGGGCACCTAGGAGAGGTTTTTCTCTGGTGGTGAAGGTGATGTTGGTTTTGTCCCATGGGTGAATGGCAGGGATGTCATGGGGACACAGGTGCCTGCTCCCCTGTGCCTTGGGGTGTATCCATCCCATCCCAGGGTTCTGCAGCTCCTGATGCCTGGGGCAGAGTGAGCAGGCCAGGCATTGCAGGGGCTGCAGACAGGCCCTTTTTTGTTTGCTTTTTAGTGTGGCTTACTTTTAATTTTTTCTCCGTGCTGCTGATTTCATGTGTTTGAGAATCATCTTCTTTCCAGCCTCTGTGCTGAGCCTACTGCCCCTTGCTTCTCCACCACTTCAGCATCTCACTCCAGCTTCCCTGGCCCACAAATGATCTCTCTTTGCACATTTTATCCTCTGAAACAGGAGGAGAAAACCAAAGAGGTAAAAAGAAAGGACTTGCCCTGCCCCTCTCTCCCTCCACCTGCCCTTGGATTTGGCTTAGCAGAGCTCGGGACGGGACCAGCAGCGTCACAGAGTAGGGCAGGGGCTACAGGGGCTGGGGAGCCTATGGATAAAAATGAAATAATTGGGCTTAAAACCCATCAGAGTTCCTCAAGCTCTTTCCTGGGGGCCAGTACGAGGTCAGCCAGTTTGTTTCAAAGCCTTTCCATCCCGACCTGCTCCCGTGGACACACGGAGGGGTCTCTGCCTGGCAGCTGGTGCAGAGGAGTCTCTG